GAGTCTTTTCTGGACTTGGGACGAGTCACACGTAACCTTGGATGTTAAAGTGAGGTGGGCTGGATGAAACCATTGAATTCCTAAGAAATAGAGAAACAAAATTTCATGGCCCTTTCCCATTACCCCTCCAGATTTTAGCACAAGGAATGTTTTGGAAGAAGGTCGTCAGTACAGCAGATGGATGTGCTGTGGTATCTCCTTGCACCCCCAGCTGTCAATAGAAGAGAAGTCGGAGTGCCTATTCTCCCTCAAGCTAAGTAAGAAGAGGAGCAAAATAACTGCTACAGAGTACAGATGCTTATTACTCCTCACACTGGCTGATGCCATGAGGTTCAAGATTTTGTAATGATGGCCCAGCCCCACACGATGTTACCAGAGCAGCGAGCAAATTAATTCTTGAGAATACTGTGTGTTTCTAGAATTTGGCAGCACAGGAATGGGCAATCATTACTGTGGGCCAAGTGGACAATATGGAGATGGATTGAGTAGGCTTGTTGGGCTCACACAATAGGACTGCCTGGTAGGCGATGGGAGAGTCTCCAAAGGACCCAATGCACCTTCTGAGGGAGAAAAGCATCATGTGGACAAATCCCATCACATGGAGCACTCAACACCCAAGAGAGAACCACACATTTTACCATCTAAGTAGTTTTTCCTAGTCTTTTGTCTGATTTGAGAAGTGTGCAGAGCAGCGATTGGAAGGGGGGAGAAGGAAGTGGAAAGAAGGAAAGAAAGACATATAAATACCTTTGGGTCAAGCCTGTGCTGGGATGGAAGGAAGAAAACATGGAATTGGAAGTCAGTTTTTATGTCAATCAAAATTAAAAATTTATAATCTGAGAATGAGACTACACTAGTACCTAAACACACCGTGGATATATTTGTGGCTGAAGCCAGAAATCAGAAGGAGCATATTGGAGAGCAGTGGGAGAGAAAAAGGAAACTATCTTATGTTTAAACTCTACAGAGTTCAGGCTGTTTAGTAAACCAGTTACATAACAGTGATATAATGCAGACAGTGCTAAGGCTTGGAATGATGTTCATCTGTCTGCCTACTTGATATTCATATTCATATGGTTGAAAAAATAATCTCTTAAACGGAGAAAAATATTTTTTCCTTTTGTGGCCATAAGTATGTATGTGACATTTTCCATTTTACTTTGAAAAGAGAATTTTCAGGGGAGAAAACAATGTACTAAGCAACTTTGCAAACTATTTTAATGTGGAACAAACTTTTTAAGCATGGTGTTTCCATGTGACAGTTCTTTTTCTCTGCACCTTTTGTCTTTTTTAAAAAATTATTTATTGCTGAGCATATTACAGATGCTCCCTCCTGTCCCCCTATTGCCCTCCTCGACCAGGTTCCCATCTTATCTTATCTATGCTATCAGAACCAAAGAAAGTGTCTATATGTTGAGACAACATCACTCCTCCTTATAGACTGAAACTTGCCTAGGTAAGAGTCAGAGAATGCACCATACCCTGAAGGTTATAACTCCCAGCCATTCAGGTGGGTTGAGGAGCAGGGCCTGAGGGCATGAAGCCTGCAGCAGAGACTGCTCAGTGGGAGAACATTTTGGAGGAGCCAGCGGCAAGCCAAGAGACTGGATGGCCCTAACCATATTGACCAACATATGTTTAACCTGAAAATGCTTCTTCAGTATGATAAAAAGCAGCTCTTGCATGGTTACCGTAGTTTAAATTTCCACATAATAAAGTAATAACACAATAAAAATCAATGATAATAATAATAATAAGTGGCTAAGAGTAGGCATTTATCATGTACCAGGTATTATGCTAAGCTCTTTACAGGCACTATCTTATTCAATACAATGATCCAAAGCAGTAAGTAGTACTATTATCCCCATTTAATAACTGAGAAAATTGAGCCTCAAAACTATTTGTGTATCTTACCAAGTTTACTGCTAGCAAGTGGGCGAGAAGAATATTAATTTAGACCTGCCTATCTCTAAAACTCAGAATCTTAATCCAGATATATAAAATTAGTCATAATTTGAAGTAAAGAAAACTGCAAATATTGAGATATATGCCAAGGGCTTTGATACTAACAAGTTTACACTATTTCGTAAATTACAGAGGTAAACCATATTGTTACCTCTATCCTTCACCTTTTCATTTATTTCTCAACAATTATGTTATAAATACATAACTCATAGAATATTACAGTTTAATTAAATGAGAGAATTGCTGTACTGCATTCACTTTTGCATATATTTTTTTTTCATTTCTACCATAGCATATACTTCAAATCCATATCCTAAAAATGTGTTTCCCTCCTGAGTGTCATCTTTTTAAATAATAGAGAAAGCATTTCCATTATGCAACCCAAATATATATATATATATATATATATATATATATATATATATACTGTTTTGATGATGTAACACATTTCTAAAATAAAATACAGGGGTATCTCTATCTATCTAAAACTTGTAATAAAATTTTACTATAGATAAACATAAATGTACAATAAGTAAAACATATTTTTATTACTATTTTGACATCTTAATAATAAAAAGTCAAACTAAATCAATTTACTTTATATTTATTTACTACTAACAGTGTTTTGATGACTAGAAAATTCAAAATATATCTTAGAGGAAATTGCAAAATAATTAACTTTTTGGTGTGTGGGAAAGGAGTAATTCTAAGGCAAAAATGCTTTACTAAAGCTGCTTTGGTATTTAGAATATTCTAGTAAATAAGAGAATTTTATAAGGACATAAAAGTTTCAATTCCATATCCTGAATGTGAAACCTTTTCTCTTCTAAGCAGCTCCATTGATTTTCAAAGTTTACTTGGTCTATTAGAGCAGGGTCATCTTTTGAAATACAGGACAATACAGGACATATACTTAATAGAGGCAGAGTGAGCGACTGGAGAGAACATCTCAGGATATTGGTGTCTCTTTTAATCTGTGCTGTCTGACGAGACAGGCACAAAACTCAACACTTGGTTCAACACCATTAGTAGCTCTAACCCTGTGTTGCACCAAAGCACAGGAAACGTAAAGTAGGCGGTACAAGCCTTCTTCAACTCGCTTTCAAAGGAGAGCGTTTCATGCATTTTTCATGCTATTTCTCTTCTCTTCCATAAGATTTTAATGGACTAAAGTATGTCATGTATATAGAACTCGATAAAATGGAGAGACAGGGGCTGTATAATTGAGGTAGATGCAGAAACAGTCAAGGGAGAAATCTTTTAAAATGCATCACCTGAATACATTTGAGCTGGGAAAGTAAGTGCTTTTTACTAAAATTCTTTTTAATAGCACAAGGAGATTTATGCTATAAAAAAAAATCTAAAAGGATTATTCCTCCCAAACAGATTATTTATTTTCAAAATGAATATTTATAAAGAGCCACTGAATTAGGCAGTAATCTTTGCCTTTGTTTAAACACAATTAACTATATGCAAAATAAGGCAGAGCTTTTTAGAAAATATGTATGCATAAGTACTAATATTGGCAGTTATTTCAATATCTGCACAGAGAGTACATAAAATGAGGAGCGACTAAACTGTTACACTCTTAATTAATGAGCACCTGTACACAATGAAAGCATGACTGATTTTATGAATGCATGAAAATCCAACCAGGCAATTAATGTTCAGTTAAACTCACACTATTGAAAAAGTAGCAAATAAAACAACTTGTAATAGGCAAATCATAGACACAGAAAAGTTGAATTTTCTGTGAATGAATCATTTCCAACATATTTAGACTACTTTATCTTGTACTTTCTTGGTTACTTAAATTTTACATGGAAAGAATTGGAATATCTTTTGTAAGATTATTCACACTTCATGCAATAAGTTGAAGATTTGAGATTTTTTTTTCTTAAAAACAGCAACAACAAAAACAAGTGTGTTTTAGAGAAACACTTTTTTTAAAGAACCAGACCTAGTGTGTTTTAGAGAAAGAATCAACTCTTTTGATAGATTAGTTATTATAAACTTTATTAAATTTATAAAAAGTCACAAATCAAATTTTTGGTCCAATTCTGTAACTATAATACAAAATAGTCACATTTAATTATTAGTTTTCTATGTAAATGTGTCTCTGACCTAGGTACTGGTGTACTTAGGGACATATAAAAGAATAAAAAAATATTCCCTTTTAATCTTTCAACAAAGACGCATGAGCACTAGTGCCTGACACTACGTGGTGATAGAGATAGAACAGTGAACAAATAAAACAAAAGCCCCATTCTCAGTGCACTTATATTCTTTTTAAAAATATATTTTTATTGATTTTAGAGAGATAGGAAGGGAGAGGAAGAGGGAGATAGAAACATCAATGATGAGAGAGAATCATGGATCAGCTGCCTCCTGCATGCCACCCACTGGGGATCAAGCTGCAACCTGAGCATGTGTCCTGACTGGGAATTGAACTGTGAGCTGCTGATTCATGGGTTGACACTCAACCACTGAGCCATACCAGCTGGATGACTTATATTCTAATGATTTTTGAGATTCATATGTTATCATTGAGTTCAAAGTCATTAAATTTTGTTTTTTTCCCCCTCTGTGTATCTGCAATCTACCCCCTTCATTTATCTATTGTCTTCATATTGTTCTCATCAATATTATTGACATTTGTGTTTACCTAAGCTAGTGCCTTACTAGATATTTTTATATCCAATTTTATAGGGACATAAAAGATTAATCTTTTTTTAAAAAATGTATTTTTATTGATTTCAGAAAAGAAGAGAAAGGGAGAGAGAGATAGAAGCATCAATGATAAGAGAGACTCATTGATCAACTGCCTCTGCACACCCACTACTGGGGATCAAGCCTGCAAGCCAGGCATGTGCCCTAACCTGGAATTGAACCATGACCTCCTACGTTAACCCAAATGTTTTTATGAGGCCTAGGTAAATGAATCCGGAAAGATTATACTAAAGCAAGCAATCATGGTTAATTCAGCTTGCTGTCAAAGTGATTAGAGGCATAACAAATGGAATTCTCACTCTTACCTGCTTCATTGGTGCGGATCATTCGAGACGGGGTGCTTGGATCTCCAGTCCCAATTGGATTGGTGGCAACCACTCTAAATTCATATTCCACCCAGGGGTTCAAGTCCACCGCCATGGCTGACTCCATGTCCCCTGTTATGATTTCTGGGACTATGGAGAGACAGAGGTTTCATGTCATTAGGAGATTTCATGTCATTAGGAGGACTGGAAAATGGTCACAACTAGCAATCAAGGGTACCACAGGCCCTGACAGGATCCGCAGGCTGATGCCTACTTCCTCATCACACATGGCCATGGTGTCACCTCTGGTCTCATTAGTCAAATCAAAATCAATCTTCAGGAAGTAAGCACTTGTTGTAGTTATTTAGAATTCTTTCTACCTCATCGTTATACATGAATTGCCATACTATAACTTGCCATTATCTGTACTAAAAATCATTGTGCCAATCCCTCAGTCCCAGAGAAGACACCCAGTGATATAATTTAAGCAAACAGTTCTTCAATTTCTAGGGAAACTTCTTGAGCAGTTTGTCTCTTCCAGTTCTGGCAAACATGCTTAGCCACTTGGCAGTTCCAAGCAGCAGATTAACAACACACCTTTCCAATTTAAAAACTCCAGTTTGTAGGAGCTAAGGGGAACCTCTGAACTCTTCTTGGAGTGACTTTTGTACTAAATTTTGATTTTATTAAAGTACTAGAGGCTTGGTGCATGAAATTCATGCATGGGGGAGGAAGGGGAGGAGGGGTCCCTCAGCCCGGCCTGCACCCTCTCCAATCCAGGACCCCTTGGGGGATGTCCAATTGCCTCTCACAATCTGACTCCTAACCACTTGCCTGCCTGCCTGATTGCTCCTAACTGCTCCCCCGCTGGCCTGATCTCCCCTAACCACTTCTGCCTCGCCTGCACCCAGGACCCAGGATTCCCTCCTCCAGCTGGTCGCAGGCACCTGGACCTGGGCTTTCCTCCCTCAGGCCAGCCACAGGTACCCAGGACCCAGGCTGGCTTTGCCTGGGCTGGCCACAGTAGCAAGGGACTGTGGGGCGTGCGGCTTGTCCCTCTCCCAGGCTGCAGCCTGGCTGGTCCCCATTCCTCTCTTGCAAGCTCATTTGTGCCTGGCTGATCCCCATTTCTCTCTCCCCAGAGTTGAGTATCTGAGCTGTTATGGCATGATGGCGTGAGGGCATGATGGCCATTTGCATATTAGCTCTTTATTATATAGGATAAGATTGTTTGTCAATATAGTTACCACATAGTAAAATTTCTTACATCATATGTATGCTTTATTTGAGACTGCCTTTCTTGTTCACACATCTCTGCTGTCTAGGAAATATTTCTGGAAGAACATTTATTACAGGGGTGAAAATGGGGAGAGCAAAGGATCACCCTTAGGATTTGCAAAGATCCCCTGGATTTGTATCCTGTCCTGGGTTTCTGTTTAATCATGGATGGGAGGGGCTGGGGAGCTCTTGATTTGATGACTCAGTGCAGTTTTCGCTATGACAAGGTGGAATTAAATGCATTTGGATTTCTCACGAAAATCTCTTTTGAAATGCATCAGGAGAATTTTACCAAATAATCAGCTCTGTGAAAGGTGAAGGCCGGAGTATAGGCAGTGTGGTTTGCCTGACAGATTTCACAGCCCTTGCACAGCTGATTTTTTAAAGCAGGGAAATGAAGACCTGGAAAAAAGTCTGTCACCTCTGCACTGGAAACTGAACAATAAATATCCCTGGAGTCAAAAAGATGTGGGGAGGGAGGAGTGGGGCGATGAAAAGCCACTGTTCAGTCCATAGCTTGCTGAACTGCTGAGCTGTGCCTGCCAAACATAAAGGTGGGAAGGAGAGATCCCCAGACACTCAGCCTTCCCCAACCCCTAGCCTACCCTGTATTGCCAATACTTGCCTTGGGTCCACAAGGACTCACCTCACTGTTTCATGTATTTCAGTTTATGTCAGTCTCATCAAGCAACTCTAGACCTCTAGGTCATCTCTCATCTTTTTTACTGGAATCCCCATAGAATTCTGCTCATTTGCTTTTCTGTCCCAGTTACCATCTTTCTTTAGTCTTTGAAAATCCTTTTGGTTTTACCGTTGGAATTCACAATCCATCATTAGCAAAATTCCCTGTATACTCATTCTTTCCTCTGAACATTCTTCCAACTGTTTAATAGGAGCCCGAATCCCCTCTGAGGACACTTACTGCTTCTCTAGGGGTGGCCATCTTAATTTACCGTAAAGAATAATCAGTCCATCTCAGTTGTGTCTCTCTCTCCTCCCTACCACCAACCAAATGTCTCTAATAGATTTTTTCCCACCAACATAATAAGTATGCAGGTGTCTTTCCCACCAAACCAAACCAAACCCAAAGAAACAAAATTCTCTCAAAATTTCTTATCCTTCCATCCTTCATTCAGTTTCTATGCTTCTTTTATAGCAAAACTTCTTGAGGGTTGTTTGTGCTCTTACTTGCTGTCACTGATTAGTTTTCTTCCATTCTCTCTTGAGCCCACTCCAATAAGTCTCTTATTCCTTGCATTCCATCTTAACTGATCCTGTCCAAATTACCAATGGTCTCTGCTACTAAAACCCTATGGTAAGATCTCTCTTCCTCATTTTCCTTGACCTAGCATCATCCCTTGACACAGTTGATAATTCTGTTTGAAATATTTTTCAAAATTTAACTTTTGTTTTTCTCCTACCGGACATCTTTATCTGTCTCAGTTGCTGGGTTCTTTTCCTCTTCCAGATGCATTCCAGTTCTAGGAGCTCTTTCCCATTTCCTTACTCCATGGTGATCTAATCCACTCTCAGGGTTTTAAATACCCTCTGTATGCTGATGCCTCTAAAATTTTCAGCAATGAACCTCCTCCCTAAACTCCAGGTTGATATGTTCAATTGGTTATTAGATATTTCTACTTGGATAAGGCTTTCAACCTGAAGTTCCCCTACTTACTTCTGGAGTATTCCTTATTTAGTATATGATGATTACATTCTTATAGATTTTGTAGCCAAAATATTGGGGTTGTCCTGAATTCCTTTCTTTTCCCCCTGTCCCACTCCACCCATAAGCAAATTATGACATTTCTGACTGTGAAATATATTGATTTTTCCATTTCCTTTTGCAGCAGAACTCTTTAAAAGAGTTGCCCATATTAATTTCTCTTCCATTATCTCTTGCATCCATTTTTGTGAGACTTGAGTCTTTACTGTTGTACTAAAACTGCTGTCGTCAAAGTCACCAATGATCTCCATGGTCAATCCTCAGGCCTCATATTGATACGTCATCAGCATTTGACATAGTTGATTACATTCCCCTCATTGATATACTTCATTCTTTTGTCTTCCAGTATATCACATGGTCTTGGTTTTCCCTATAATTAAATTGTTACTTTCCCTCTGTATTCTTTGGTTGGTTGTTCTTCTCCACAACTTCTTACTATTGAAATGCTCTAGCCTTCCATTTTTATAACCTATTTTAAACTTATATCCTTGGAGATAACATGCAGTCTCATGATTTTAAATGTAATTTATATACCAATAATTTCCCAATTTTTATCTTTATTTTAAGTCTCTCCCTTAAAATCCAGGCTCATTTATACAAGCTGGGGCAAAAGTAAGTTTACAGTTTTTCATATGGAAAATATAATTAATAAATAATAATAATACAAGAATAAACTCTGTTTGCCGCACCTTGTACAATTACCTATTTGATACCCTTAGAGCTCCCATCTCCAAATATAGTCACAATAGGAGGTTAGGGCTTCAACATTTGAATATTTGTGGGGAAGGGGAACTCAATATAGTCCATAGCAGGCAGGTTGAAATTGGTTTATTCATACATTTTTAAATAATTTTTTAAACTTTTCAATTATAGTTGACATACAATATTATATTAGTTTCAGGTGTACAACATAGTAGTTAGACACTTATATAACTTATGAAGTCATCACTCTGATTAGCACCGATCTGACACCATACATATTCATTACAATATTATTGACTATATATCCTAAGCTGTACTTTACATCCTTGTGATTATTTTTATAACTGACAATTTGTACATCTTAATCCCTTCCCCTTTTTCACCTATTCCCCTAACCCTCCATTCCATCTGGCAACCATCAAAATGTTCTCTGTATTTATGTGTTTATCTCTGTTTTATTTGTTCATTTATTTTTTATTTTTATATTCTGCATAGAGTTGAAATCACATGATATTTGTCTTTCTCGGTCTGACTTATTTCACTTAGCATAATGCCCTAGAGATCCCACCATGTAGTAACAAATGGCAAGATTTAATTCCTTTTTATGGTTGAATAATATTCGATTATATATATGTACCACATCTAATGTATCCACTCGTTTATTGATAGACACAGGTTGCTTTCATATCTTGGCTATTGTAAATAGTGATGCAGTAAACATAGGGGTGCATTTTTTTAAATTAGCATTTGAAGGTTTCTTAAAATAAACACCCAGAAGTGGAATTACTGAGTGATATGGTAGTTCTATTTTTCCTTTTTTGAGGATCCCCCATACCATACTGTTTTCCACAGTGGCTGCACTAATTTGCAATCCCAACAGTGCATGAGGGCTCCCTTTCCTTCACAGCCAGGTTGAAATTTAACATAGAGTGTTTGGGATAAGCCTCACTGAGAAGGTACACTTGAATAAACTTTTGAAGGAAATATAGGTTTAGCTATGCCAATATCTGGAGGGAAACATCCCAGGTTGAAGAAGTAAATAGTGCAAAGGCATTAGAAGCAGTATGTGCAGGAACATGAGATCAGTGAGTCAAGAACAGAGTGAGTTTTAGGGCTACCACAGTACTTTGGATTCTCTTTACAATACTATCTTTATTTTTTCCATTCATTAAGTTCTTTAATACTATATAATTTCCTTGTTTATTAGTTCTCTCTTTATTGTTTGTCCTCACCCATGAGAATACAATCTTCACAAGGATAGGTATTTTTGGTTTTGTTTTGTTCACTCATATATCCTAAGTGTCTAGAATACTAGCTGAAAGCTGCTTGATAAATTTTTATTGAATTCAGAATAAAAGGGGGATTCAAATAGTTGTGATAAAAATTGGAACAGTTTCTGTTTTAATTTTGATGTAATTATTCAGACTGTATGTTTAAAAGGAACTTTAATTTAAAATATAAAAATATCCTTCCTCCCAAAGCTACATGTATTTATATTTTCTTACCATATAGATTTTAAAGTTTCCTTCCCATATCCCACATCTTCTCCACCATCCTTAATTCTAATCTCTCTTTAAAAAGGAAAACAAAAATAAGATTTAGAAATCCAAAATTCATTGCTACTTGTAAGGGCTACAAAAAAGCATGAGTTGAAGTTATTAATATTTTTGATGAAATAATGTGCAATATAAAATAAATTAGAAACAAACTTTTAAGTCAAACTTAGGATTTTTTATTTCAAAAGCAATATTGTAGAGATTAAAGAAAATGGAGAATGTTCACCAAAGAAGGTATTTTTAAAGCCTGGCAGGTATCTATAATAATAAAAGGGTAATATGCTAATTAGAACAGATGTCCCTCCGGACAAAGCCGGGCCAGAGGGAAGCCAGCCTGGGTCCCGGTTGCCAGAGGGAAGCTGGTGCTGGCACCAGGGGAAGGAAGGCCTACTTTTGCATGAATGTCATGCATCAGGCCTCTAGTTATATTATAAAGATGTTCTTTCTGGAACAATGGGGATAAGACATTCTGCTTCATAGACAACACACAGCAACTAAAGACAGTGGAGGATCCCATATTGATTCAGGGAGAATCTTGTCAAAATGCCTTCTAGTAAAATAATTTCATCCAAGACTTTCATTAAATAATTATATGAAAACTAAATAAGCCTGTCTGGTTGACAAATGTAATCAACCAATCAATCAGTGGAAAACATCCAAGGACAGAAGATGTATCCACTGATAGAAGAACAGTAAATAACATATTTGAATTAACAGTGACAAATCAATTCTATGATTATAAGTGATTTGTTATTTCTAAACAGACATAGTTAAAAACTAGGTCAGCTGATACTGCTCAGTAATATGAAGAAGAAAGTTAGGTTTCCAAATCAAAAGCAATTTGTTTAACCAGGATAAGGGTCTGCAAGTGAAATTATTTTTTATCATTGTTTTCATACTCTCTTCAAAATGAGTAAATTAGTCCCATTCCCAGTCACCTGATGTGAGTCTGATTTGGGGGTAGGCAGTATTAATAAGTTAATTCCAGGTGCTCAGCTAGAAGGTCCAGGTGCAACTCATTACTTCATTTGTCAAAAATGAAGAACTCACTATTCTTTGTATTCATGTTGATGTATGAAGGAATCTTAAGTGCTTTTTAAATACTAGCTTATGAATTGCATTAACTTTATCAGAGTGTTCAAACCCATTTTTTTTCCCAATAGATATTTATGCCTTAGAGCTTATCTCTACTGAAATTGTTTTAGATGAGGGAGTGACTATGAAAACAAAAGGCCCACTGCTGATGTGGCTCTAGAGGGATTTCTTTCCCTGTCAGGAGCATGAAAGAAGTTGTGTCAGACTGTGCTAGGAGCTGGTAAAAGCAGACTACATTTAAAACAGCTACTTCAGAGCACACAAGCATTGAGGACTGATCCTTGGCAGGTTTGCCTGGAGGATGTCTTGCCTCTACCAGTAGCTCCAAGAGATGCTGAGTTTTAGAAAAATGAGTGGCCTCATTAGGTTAAGAGACACCCTGCTAGAGCCCTATTACTATCAAGGGCAAATAAAATCAATCATTTATAGAAATATATTTCTGAAAAAAATGTCTCTTTTCTTATATATTGCAATCACTGATTTTTTAATAAGTACTTGCTGAACAGAATTTTAAAAACTCCCAACTTAAAATGTTTCCAGCATCCAAATTATATTTGAAAGATAAAGATGTAACTTTATAGTAAGGACTTCTAAAACAAATAACCCCCAAACTAACATTTAGTTCAAATGCCTGAGCTTCCCCTAACATACAATTTCATTTGTCCATAGCTTGTGCCAAAATATTCAAAGTTTATATATATATATATATCCTATCTATCTTTCAAGCATCTATCAAACAACAAAAAGTAGAAACAGGTGAGCCAAGATGTTAGAAACCAAGGAATAACAGTATCTAGTAAACTATGGGTGTAGTAGGAGGAAGAATAGATGTCCTGGATTGGTATACCATGAGTTAAGGTCAGAGGGACCAGAACATGGGCATATGATGAGCAAGTAAATGTGTATTGCAATGTACCCACAAGGAAACATCCTCAAATAGTAAGTTGTATGGGCAGTGAGACAAGAGTGGGCAGGGAGCATGGCAGCAGGCAGGAGAATGGGTTTGTTGAGTGCATTCATAACACCACATCTGAAGGTGAATCCATTTCCTGGCTGCAGAACAAAAGACTTGGGCTGTCACACTGAGGATAATTTGGGAGCACTGGGGCAGAGGTTGTAAGAATTCTTGTGTAAACCTGTTCATGTGGCTTGAATTTGTGTCCTTTTCAGAGTTATCTACCAAACTTAGAGATTCCCCCAATTTCTTGGATCTGCAGAGGCATCACAGGGTTAAAATGAAGCTAGAAATGAGGCCAATATCCACAATTATATATATTACAAAATAAATATATGTACATGTATAGTACACAATAATGACGATCAAACTGAATTCTATAAATTAATATAGACACCTAATATCAAGAAAAACTTAAATTATATTTTGCAGGTAAATATATTTCCTCCCCCTGTAAATTGTAAATTTTTACATAAACATAAGTTTTTCTCAAATTTAATTTATTTAAGCAACAAAATGGAACACATCACTCCTATAACATTCTAGTTAATTGAGTTTTATGGTTACTGCACTCAAATACTTTATAAATTTTATATTTACTTCTAAACAGGCAAATTGATTTTATATTTAGGCAGTAAAACAAAATCACAAATCCCTACTCAGAAGGGACAACTGCATCTGAAGATTAGATTGTATAGACCAGTGGTTCTCTACCTGTTGGTCGCTACCCCTTTCACAGGGGTCGCCTAAGACCATCAGAAAACACATATATAATTACATATTGTTTTTGTGATTAATCACTATGCTTTAATTATGTTCAATTTGTAACAATGAAAATACAACCTGCATATCAGATATTTACATTATGATTCATAACAGTAGCAAAATTACAGTTATGAAGTAGCAACGAAAATAATTTTATGGTTGGGGGTCACCACAACATGAGGAACTGTATTAAAGGGTCGTGGCATTAGGAAGGTTGAGAACCACTGGTATAGACACTATACTTTTCAAATACCAATATGTTAAATAAGTTCCTAATAACTATCAGGAGAGTATGATGCTACATAGCTTTATAAATAGACACATTTGGAGAGATAGTAGAAGTTTAGTTGTAACATGGGATGGAATCCATCTGGGAAGAAATGATTTTTGAAATAATTAAAATATAATGCAAATATCTTAGAAGCAGGCATTAAAATTCTGCATTCTTTTAAATAATGTAATTTGATGTTAGATTTTCTTTTTGTGTGTGATTATAAAGAGGTAGCAAGGAACTGGAGTAGTGATCAGTGGTGATGACTTGAATCTTTACAATAAAATTTTATGGAATTTTATAGGACTTACACTAAAAGTAGCATACAAAAACTGGTGAAATAGGAATATAGTCTGTAGTTTAGTTAATAGCATTGCACCAATGCCAACTTTCTGATTTGATAATAGTGTTATTGTTATGTTATCCTGGGGGAACTCTGAGGGCTGTGTCCACAGGAAATCTGTGTTATTTTTGCAATTTTTATGTGAGTCTTAAGTTATTTCAATAAGTAAACAAAGAAACAAATATAAATGATTCCTCCCTGGGAATTGAGGAGAGAAAAAAAGCAAAGCAGATTTATTAAAAGAAGCAAACAATGGTTAATCTATAATAATAAAAGGGTAATATGCAAACCGACTGAATAGCATAATGACAGTCCGGATGACCATCTGGATGACCTCCTGGACGAAGCTGGGGCTGTGATGCCCTACACTTGCACGAATTTTGTGCATTGGGCCTCTAGTATTGTAATAAATGATAACATTTCAAGAATCCAAAAAGATTCCTCTGAAATTGTTAGCATATATATATATATATACGCTAGAGGCCTAGTACATGAAATTCATGCATGGGAGGGGGGTGTCCCTCAACCCAGCCTGCACTCTCTCTAATCTGGGGCCCCTCAAGAGATGTCCGACTGCCGGTTTAGGACAGGGATCGGTCCTAAACCGGCAGTCGGACATCCCTCTTTCAATCTGGGACCACTGGCTCCTAATTGCTTGCCTGTCTATTGGCCTGATCCCTTAACTGCCCTCCTTTTGCCAGCCTGATCACCCTTAACTGCCTCTGCCTTGGCCCCGCCACCATGGCTTTGTCCAGAAGGACATCCTCTCTAATTAGCATATTACCCTTTTATTAGTATAGATATGGCAAAATAGCTCATGATGGGAAGCTGCTCCGATTACATCTGATATTGCCTCCGAACCTCTTACCTGTTTTCACTGTTTGCCAGCCCAGGGAGAATGGGCTGCGAGCCTGCAGATTGTAGGAGGAGATCGGGCTGTGGTTGTCAGCTGCTTGACTCCAGGAGAGTGTGGCTGTGTTTTCGGTGATCTCTTCAACGATCACTATCCCTGGTGGGCCTGGGGGACCTACAGACAAAAGAGAATGGATAAAGTTGAGTACAAGTTGTGATAAAGAGCCATGAGAAATTGTATTTCCATGAATATTTAATAAACCTATGTAATTGTCTTTAATGGAATACATATTTAGTAATAAAAATTGGAAGTAAACAGTGATGGGATGCAAGCTGGTTTTTATGATTTCTGGGGGTAAAATAATTATAGATTAGATTTTTTTCTAGCACTGTGTGCTTAGGGGCAACTACCAATTACCATTATATTTTATAGGAAAAGAAAAAAATAGAAACAAACACAAGAATGTCGATATCAACTCTGGCTGTTGAAATCAATCACAGCTTATAGAGGCAGCAAAAGGAAGTGATAGGCAATGCTATCAGGCACAAAAACTATCCCATTATTACTAATAAAGTATGGGTGCATAGGACTATTTTTCACGCTCAGGAAACCTAAAATGTACAAATATTCAAATGTGATTATCAAGTAGCCTAAGCTTTTACAGGGGAGATATGAAAGTTCAGAGCAAGGAAGAGCAAATACTAGAAATGAGGTATAAAAAAATTGTGGGAAGTTAAAAGGATGGTGTGATTATTATTATTATTATATTATTCATTGTATGAGTCAGAGAAGGTTATTTCACTTTTGATTATGAAAAATCAATATAGAATAGTGATGATTAATCTATATACATGTATGTAGATTCTAGTTTGAAGAAACAACCATGATCTGATATGAGAAGAAATATACCTTTGTATTATAACTTCTAATATAGTGATTTCTAAAATAGCATTTAAAAATATGTACTTACATTTTATTGGTTAAAAAGTAATTGGTTTTCTTATTGACCTTTTTCTATTTCCTAACATGGTCAATTCAAGCTGTAAGGATACTTTTATTTTCAATTAAGAAAAACCTCACACTTAAGTACTTTATTTTCTGAATTAGTCCTTATGTAGGAAGTTGATGTTTGGATTTGGTGATTATGAAGCCTAAACAGTAAGGGCTGAATTGGACTGTAAGGAGCTAAGAAATGGGATGCTAAAGAGATGCAGATGGTTAGAAAAGACCTCTTGGTAGAGAATTTTAAATTTAAAAGCCTCATTGGGCAAATGACATTTTTAGGAAATGAGAAATTAACTTTTTAAATTATCACCTGAGGATATTTGTCCATTGATTTTTAAAGAGAGTGGGAGAGAGAAATATCAATGTGAGAGAAATAGTTAGATTGGTTGCTTCCTTCATGTGCCCTGATCACAGCACAGGCCCGGGAGAAGCCTGCAACTAAGGTACTCATGTCTTTGACTAGAATCAAACCAGGGACCCTTCATTCCACGGGCTGATGCTCTCTGCACTGAGCTAAACCGGCTGGGGAGAAATTACCATTTTTTATCAAGACTGAGAAGAACCAGCACCAGATAGCAGAGACTAAAGATTTAGAAGACAGGGACTATTCTATCAGGAAGGTGACAAAATATTAGGATTGTGCGCAAAAGTATTGAAAATAATCATGAGAAGTGACAGTTTTTCCCTCTAAGAGAAATGAAGAAAGAAACAAAAATATAGAGAGAAAGTTTTGGGCAGCTGAGAGAGCTCATTTGGGAAGGTTTTTATATTTTTTTCATTAAAGAATAAGTAAAGGTAATTGGGTGATAATGGGGCTGAGAGCTAGAGAAGAATGGGAAATGTCTGGGATAAGTACATGATAAGAGAGGAAAGACATGAATATAAATATTTTGGAAAAGTATTGGAGTTCAAATTTGGTTCAATAGCACCATTTTGAGGTAGAACTGACTGAATAAGCAAGGTTAGGCTGGAAAGCCAGGACTAGGGACAGAGAAAATAGTTAATTGGGTCCATTCAAGTTTAGGAGTTTGTAAATTTGATATGACTTACTATCAAAGACGCCAAAGTATGAATGACCATGGGATCAAGGTAAACTAGGCAGTCAAGTAAAGACAGAATGGTGCTGATAGGCTAAAATAAAAAAAGGAGTAAAGGAAACCAGGTTATTATGAGGGCGAATTATAAAAATCGAAACTTGTATTGCGAGAAGAAAAATTGCACAATTTGTTGGATACTTTTAAATATCCAACTGTGTTTATCTAGAATGAAGTGGAGAGTATGATTACCAGGGCTGAAAAGGTCAAGGACTTATGGAAGAGTATGTTGGACGTGTCATTCATATGAATGTTCAAAGTATTAAAATAATGGCTACAGATAAAATGAGGAAAATAAATGAGATCCAGGTGCTGAAGAAGTCTAACAAGTTATTAGACTGTGGTGACAGGGATATGGAGGAGAGACTATAATTATGATAATATAATGATATGACTATTAACTGTAATAACAATACTAACAGCTACCATATCAATGCACTGCATTAAGTATTTTGCAAACATTAATTGATTCATGTATTTCTATGTTACTGGAGTGGGCCTTACTATCCCTATTTCATAGGGAATGTAATAGAATCTAAAAGAGATTGTTTAGTCAATAAATGATAAATAAATCACTTAGTCAATAACCTTATTGTATGTCAGGTATTATGCTAGACAGTGGGTGTCAGAGAGTCCATTCTAGTGAGAAGTTATTTGCCCAAGTCCCTGTGCTAGTGGACAGCACAGTTGAGATTTAGCCCTTTGGTTCTGAGCTCCCTTTACTGTTAATCTAGGAGTTGCTTCAGTTGAAGGAAGAAAAGAAAAAGTAAAGGCTTGTGTAAAGGAAAGGCACATTTAAATCATGTGGGAGAGTTAGAGATGGCTTTTAAAAAACCATTTTGGGCTCTGTGGCAGCTTGTGGCCACCATCTCTCCCTTCCTTGCCTGTACATGCAGGTCATTACTTTATTGAAAAGTGAAGCCTTCTACACTTTCACTTCCTTCCATCTGGGCTGGCCTGGGACTATTTGACCCCAAAGATAATAGTAGCAGTGACATTGCTTGACTTTTGAGGAGAGGTTACAAGCAGTTGTGCAGCATCATCACATGTCTCGTGGAACGTTCATGGGAAAATCCAGATGCCTTCGTTAGAAGTCCGATTAAACAGGCTACCATTCTGTAAGCAAGTCTAAACTAGCCAACTGGAAAGGCTCATGGACAGAAGGAGAGCCAAATGGCCCCCAGCTATTCCAGACATTCCAGCCCAGGCACCAGACATGTAAGTAATGAAGTCATTTACTTGAGCTTCAGCCACCACGGAACTCCTGCACATGAGCAATCCCAGTAAGAACCTGGCTGTGCCCGTCAGCTGCCAACAGTATGAGAACAAATAATAGATTGATGTTTTAAACCACTAAGTTTTGAGGCAGCAATGAATAATTAGAACAGATTTCAAAATAGTTTGAGAGTTTGTTCATAGATAGGAAATTTGTCAGGTGGATCTTTCAGATATTATGAAAACAGACTTGAAATTTAGCTAATGTGTTCAAACAGGGGGTTATCAACATAATTTAGTTCTTGAGGTCTTCTGTATTGTTCCATTTATTCTGTTCCATTTCATCCATTATATTTATTTACCTCTGCAAAAAGCATTTATTAACAACCACCTATGTGTGATAGAAAATATTGTGGAAAATAGCTTTGTTAACTTAAATAAAATTATTTGTCTTCTGAGTATTATAGCTCTATGAAAATGTTTAAATTAGTTCTCTTAAAAGGTATATTTCTTTTAATAATAGATAATAGGTAATTGCTTTAAATAATGATTTAAAAAATAAAATTTACAATATAATTGATAAATCGCCAAGTATTTTTCTCTATATGTGCCTATTTTACCATATAGTCCATTGCAAAATTATCAGTGACAGTGAACAAAGTTTATGCATCCTGGATATGATTGTGGCTGTGCAATTATTTATAATTACACAGCATTATAAAGAACCAACTGTCCAATCATGTAATGCTCAAATCATAACATCTTATGACAGAATATTAGGCAGCCATTAAACTGCCTAATATAGCAAACTATTTAATGATATGGGAAATGTTCACAATATAAGTGAAAATAATGAAATGCAACTTTATATGTAAACATAAATGTAGAAATAGTAATTTGACAAATACATAAAGGAAAGGACTGGAAAAAAGGGCATTAAAGTATACATAATTGTTATTTCTTGGAGGTGAGAATGTAGATGATTTAAATTGCATTCTTTATACTTGTTTGGATTTTCAAATTCTGTGCAATAAGCATGTATTTGTTCAAAGTTATTTTTAAAATCATTATTTTCAAGAAAACTTCCATATTGTGATGCGTATGTGCTAGTCTAAGTATATGCTATTTAACTAAACATTTATTGAATGCCAAGTATGGGTAAACACTGTGCTGATGATGGGAGATGGGGGTCAGGTGGAGATGAATGGTTTACAGGAGGACAAAATAGGATTCCAGCCCCAGTTGTGTTAAAATCCAGTGGCAGACAGATTTTTTTTTTTTTTTTTTTTTACAAAGAACAGATGTCAGGCAGTGATAATGTTATGTTTAAGTGCTTTGGGAGTATATTTTATATTTCATTATAACACTTGTTACATTGATTATAATTATTTTCTATAATTTCTATTTGTCTGAATAGTCAACATGTATTTGGCATCTATTAGGCCCTCAATGGATATTTGTAGAAGACATTAAAGGAAAAATCGAGAAGAAAAAATCCATCAGGAGTTATGTTTTGAGTTTAAAACATTGTGTAACAACAAGTAAAATATATTTTAAAATAATTATTGTTAAGACAAATATCCAATATGATAGCCTTTTTTTTTGTTAAATCAAAATATATTTGAATTAACATTTTCTTAGTCAAGCTTATAGTGGGATGGTAATAAAAATGACAGAACAGCTCCATGAATGAATATAAAGCTTCTCATGATTTAAAAAGGTTCATTATTATTAGAAATTTACTATGAACAGGTCATTTTTCTAAATTCTTTCTTTAAAAATCCTCACCTGAGGAATTTTCCCATAGATTTTCAGAGAGTGGAAGAGAGAGGAAAAGACAGAGAGAACATCAATTGGTTG